AACTACAGCCGGCCTTTTCTACTGCACCCGTTGCGAAATCATGACCTGGGTCGATTCATGACCTCCCCTGTACGGTAAAACCTAAATCTGTAGTGACTAATCGCCAAGTACGTTTAATCTACGTTAGTTGAAGCATGTATTAGGACGAGGTTTTAACAAGCTAAAATATTTTACCCTATTTTACAACAAAAAGTGGAACGATTCTCCCAGCAGCTAACATGAGTTAACCTTTTTCAGCAATAAAATGCGTTCATATATCACTAATCGATTAATTTAATTATAATTTTAGCATTAGATAATAGGAATATTAAAGTGAAGATGCAGTAAAATCACATGCTTTTAGATTATTTGAAAAATTTATAGAAAGAAAATAAAATCCTCCATGGAGTTGTTTTGAAAGCAGCCATTGAACTTCAAGTAAAATTAAAATTTAAATTTGAAGACCCAATGTAAACCGACATTTTCTATTCTCCGTCTTGGTTGTTAAGAAGTAAAGAAGGATCCCTAATAATTGAACGTAGTTGACCAAACCTGGGTTAATTTATTTCAAAGTGGAAACTTCCAGGTGATTTAAAATATTACAATATTGCAATTATCATCTTATTGCACAAGCATATCTTACAAATTATCAACAAGCATATATCACTGATAGCTGAAGATGCCATGACATCACGCACGTCTCGGATTGTTTAAATTGTTTGAAATTCCAGGAAAGACCCTTGAAAATAAAAGATCCTCCATCAAGCGATGTTTGAGAGCAGCCACTGGTCTTTAAGCAAAATGAAACTTTAAACTGAAGTTTCACAACTATAAACCGGCGCTTTCAAGGCTTCATCAAGGATGTTAAAGAGTAAAACAAGATCAATAGAATCATCTTAAGAAACGTATCTCAGTATTAATCACCAAACATCAACCGGATTTACCAAAAGAATCATGTTCTGCCAAATTTACAAACTATGTTCTTTTTAGTGAGGTGATCCTACTTCAGTACTTGAAAGCTTACATTTTGTTCTTGCATAATAATTGCCAATTTCGGTTAAATCCAAAATAGAACTTAGGTAAAGTTGATGTCTGAGCTGGTTTACCGAATGAATCAGGTTCTGTTAAATTTACAAGGAAGGTTCCTTTTGGGCAAGTGATTCATCTTCAATACCTATGAGCTTACATGTAGGTTTTGCAGAATAATTGTTAGTTTCGGTAAAATTCTAAATAGAGCTGTAGTTTATTTTAAATAAACCTTGAAAAAATTGTTGGTGTTTAGTGACCTTTACTAAATGATTTTTTGGACCACTATCAACACGACAGACAAGAATGACATCTACCGGGAAAGAAACACTTTGAGCCCTGAAGATGATCTCAATAAAGATCGAAACGTTTACCAAAAGAACCAGGTTCTGCCACATTTCCAAACTTTGTTCTTTTTGGTCAGGTGATCCTACTTCAGTACCTAAGAGCTTACATGTTGTTCTTGCACAATAATTGCCAATTTCGGTTAAATCCCAAATATAACTTTAGGTCCTGCTGCATGTTGAAAAAAATGAATTTATCTCTATTCACCAAATTTGCCAAATGAATCAGGTTCTGCCAAATTTACAAACATTGTACTTTTTGGTCAGGTGATTCCACTTCAGTCCCCAAGAGCTTACATGCTCATTTTGCAGAATAATTTTTTGGTAAAATCCAACTTGGTACTGATTTATTTCTGACCAAACGCAGAATTGATATCTAGCAAATATAATTTTCCAAATGAATGCATGCAAATCTAATGCTAAATATACGAAAATTTCTTTTAACCAGTTGATTCAACTTCAAAACCTATGAAGCTCTCATGAAGCTTTTGCAGAATAATTGTTAATTTCGGTAAAATCCAAAATAGAACTGTATTTTTTTTTTTTTTTTTTGCACGTGGAAACAAGTTGATGTCTGAGCAACCAGGTTTACCGAATGAACCAGGGTCTGTTATATTTACGAGAAAGGTTCCTTTTGAGCAAGTGATTCAACTTCAAAACCTATGAGCTTACATGTAGCTTTTACAAACTAATTGTCAGTTTTGGTAAAATTCTAAATAGAACTGCAGTTTCTTAGAAACCTTGAAAAATGTTGATTTCTAGGCAACAAGGTTTACTGGATATATTAGATTAAATCAAATATACAGATAACATTTCTTTTGGCCACGTTTTTCAATATCAGCACGTATGAGCTTAAATGGTGATTTGGTGAAATTCAAAATAGAGCTAGGTTCTTCAGCACATTGAAAAGAATGAGTTGATGTTTGAACAATTAGTTTTATCAAATGAATCATGTTCAGTCAAATTTATAACGAAGGACCTTTTGGCCAGCGGATTCAACTTCGCAACTTAAGATCGTACATGCTTCTTTTGCAAAATAATTGCACATTTCGGTAAAATACCAAATAAAACTTTTACGTTCTTCTACATCTTGCAAAAAATTAGCTGGCGTCTGGTGAACCAGATTTACCAAATGAATCCGGTTCTGTCATATTTACAAAGAAAGTGTCCTTTGAGGTCAGGTGATTCAACTTGAGAGCTTACATAATAATCTTGCAGAATGATTTCGAAATGATACAAAAGAATCTCCAATTCGAAAAAAATGGATTATCAACATTTTTTGTCTACCAGCGTCCAGCCTCGACCTCAGTCTATCATTGAACAAATCATTCTTCTAGATTAATGCAAACTAAAGGAAAATAGTTGTTGGATGTTCAGGTTTTTGTTTACAAAAACAAGCAAGCTAAGGCTGCCACCACTATTTCAAAGAAAAATCCAGAAAACGCAACTTTTGTTTCTAGCCTACGAAAATTACAAAAGTTAGAGGTTTTAAAAATATGCTAAGATGGTAGCAATTCAACAGAAACTGAAAAAATTATGAACAAGAATTTTTTTAGCAATTCCATTGGAGGAAAACCTTTACTAGCTTATACGATAAGAGACTTCTTCTAAAATGCAAGAAAGAATTTTTTTTAAATATTAAATTATTCGAATATTGCCTTTTTGAAAGAAAATGTTAGATAACAGACCAAAGTTTCTCGAAAATTCTGCTAGTTATGACCATCCTTGCAAAAAGTCTCAGTGAAATGATTTACCTCAAACGTTTTGAAGATTTCAACTTCTTGAAAGGCGGTCAATCAGGTTTCAGCTTCAAAATAAACGGCATGTCAAAACTTATTTCGTTAAAAGATAATTAGAACAAACTTAAATTGCTACAGCCCACCTAGCCAGTCGTGTAATCTAAAGAACACTGAAAACACTTTAAACACAAAGGAAAATATTTATTGATAAAATTGAGCGATGTCTGATTGACAAAAATGAGATCAATATGTATAAAATAGTAATTTGAATTTTGATTCTGGGGAGAAATGAATTTTTAACGGAAGGAAAAAAGCAGTGAGGGGTTTCCCTGTATAAATCACTATTGGAGAAGTATATTTTCCAATACTGACTTTCTTTAAGCATGAAATATTGTATGACAGTACATTTTTGTTTAGTTTAAGTCGTTTTGTTTTTAGTTATTTCAATGTTTATTATTATGCGCATCATGAGGGTTGCTAATATTGTGAAATTTTTCTTATTGTGTTGTTTTTTATTTTTGTTGTTAATTAAGTATTTTACACTTAACCATAGAACTATGAGTAGTAATAGATTGATATTAAAGCAGCCCTCAGGGAAGAATAACGATTAGTCGAATCATCGATAATTTCACATAAAGCGCAGGCCCATATTTCAATTGAGGAACCTCGGGGCGGATGGAAACTTTCAACCCTTATGAATTTAGTTATCTCCAAACTCCAACCAATCGAAAATAATCCAGTGGCGAATACAAAGAATAAAAAAACCTGATATATTTTCTCCCTGAGTGTCAGCGTCGGCCGAGACATTTGGGATATTGAGTGATTAGCAAGAAGAGATGGTAAAAGGAGGGGAAAAAATTAAAAAAAAGGAAGTGTGGCAGGTTTTGATTCAAGCCGACCAAACCAGTTTACCGAGTACATATAGGGATCGTTAGTGAATGGGTCCGCCCACGTCTCAAGAATTCTCGCTTGCATTGTGAGGACCAAAAGTTGCAATTTTGGTTGATTGGATTTAATGACATATCCAGTTTGTTTGTACACTTTCAACAATACAAGTGGCAACCAGAGAAAATAGCAAATCTGTTTTTTTGCCTTTTCTTCAATTCCCTATGTTATTTGCAAATTATTAATAATTCAGATGTTTAAAAATGGAGAATTTATTAATAATTTTGAAACAAAATACATGATTTTACATTTGTAATTTTATTGAAAATAGTTTAATTTAAATAATAAACATATAATACCTAAATACACTTAAATTTCCTTATGTGAAGAAAGAAATCTACAATAAAAATATATAATAGTGACAAAATTGTTGAACTGCCGCCATTTATGATAAATAAATTGGTCTGCCATTCATATTAAAATTTATATTTACAGGGTTTTTTTTTTGCAAATTTTATACTTGAAAATTGAATTAAAAATGACTTGAAACAAATCTTTCCTTATACCTCTTAAGATAAGCAGTATTCATCAGCAAAATTAAACGTATTCGACTTGTTTATTTTCCCATTACCAGTTTATTAAAAATTTACAGAAAAGTTCCCGATGTAAAAAGAATGTGCTAGGTGTTGTAGAATATAAATTATATGAGTTATTTGCCGGTTCAGCAGAAAAAAAAATAAACCACCGAGTGTGTACAAAAGAGCACAGTTTTGTAAGTATGAAACAATTTCCCAACGGAATTTTCTGCGAGGGTCAGCATAAATTTTCTAATCTTTTCCAAGATAAAAAGTAAAAGTGGAGTAACCCCCTCCACGGAAAAAAACGGTTCTTTTAAGTCTAAAAAGCGTGCGTACGGTAATAACCGGATAAACAATGTGATAGAAGGGGTTTCGGTTATGCTACATGGTTTTAACATCGATTGCCGGTCTTAAGCCGGCCGAATAAACATAATTTGAAAGGAACTTACCAAGTGCCGCCCCGACGATTACGCCGAAAGCCGTGCAGAAGAGGAACAAATTGTCCTTGATCCATCGGTTGTACACGCTCTTCGGCGCCTTCGATTCCTGTTCTTCTTGTGCCATTCTCGTAAAGAGGTAATCTGGAAAAACAGGAGGACGGGACATGGCGTTAATCTGTCTTTCTCTCTACTACAGCTGAGCTGCTAGTGCGATTGCCGGCTGCTCGCGGTAGTGGGAGAACCTCTGCGCACGTATATCGATCCTATTTCCTCGTCGAAGTTCCCCTGACCTTAGCAGAGACCGGCTCCTCTTCTACTTTCTATCTGCCGGAGGTTCGGACCCGTCGGCGAATTAGTAGAACAATCACCCAAAAAATGTCAATTTTCGTCCGAAGGGTCCTTTCGGTTGAATGGCATCGGCAATCGCAATAGCACAAGCTGTCAACATATCCATCACCCTTTGCCGAGTCCTTCCTTTAAATATATTCAATTATTACTGTTTAAGCGAAAGCTACCAGTTTTACACTTTTTCAACTTCCATACTATAAAAATTTAAATTGCTTATATTTGGAAGGTGGCTAAGGGTGCAAAAGTACAAAAACTCTTACAATATAAAAACGCTCAGCTTTTCCCTCTTCATTACCCATGTAGAACTCAAATTCAAAGACAAGCTTTGGTACAAACATTACTTTTTTTATGCTTTTCGATTCCAATCACACTCTCCTCGCCCCAAAATGGTACCAACCATACATTTACTGTTAACAATCTATTTATGCTCCCAAAGGCATAAATAAAAAACCACACTACTTAAGAAAATGTACAAACTGATCAATGTAATCAGAAAGGATGGTTTTTAATTACTCTGCCAAATTGCACTTTGGGGTCGATGAGCTGTAGCCTGTAATTTGAATAAAATTGAATACTTCTGGTCCGCCTATTCTCGCTTCGGAGACAGAGCCATAAGGGAACAAAGGTGATAAATTGTACCAAACCACACTCAACGAATGCTCTGATGAAAGCAACTAGATCCTTGACAAAAAACCGAAAATACTTTTATCGATTTTATTTTGGCCGATTTGCACTCTCATCTATTTCAAATTGAAAATCACTATATGATTTTAGAATTTTAAAATTTCACAAACAACGTTTATGATTAAATTCGAAGGATTACAAACTTCGGTATGAATTTATCAGTACAGCATGCATCAGTAATTATAAAATCACGAATCATGATTTCATTTTCTAGATGATAAATTTGAAAATGACCTTTGAACAATTTTCGTTTAATTGTTCATCTTGGATAAGTAATAATAAACTTTACTTTTTGTTCTGTCATTTGATTCCATCAAACGGGATTAAGAGTGATTTTTAAAAAAAATAATTCTTACTTTTCTCTCGTCCAGCATCCAACCCCGATTTCGTCATTTTGAATAACCACGACTATGTTTATTTTTTCAGGCCAAAACATTCGAAATTTAGTACAACCAGGTTATTACTCATCCCTAAACACGCAGGTACAGGAGATCAAACAATAACACAAATATAGTGCACTATATCACTGAATAACATTCTAATCTTTTTCTGATTGGTTTTAAATCAAATGGTAAGATTATATTCAGTTAAATCGGTTGATGGAATTCACTAGTGTTTTGCTTGAATCTATCATCGAAGAAAAGGAATGGAGGACTACTCTTTCCAACAAAAGGAATAGGAATGGTAATTTGGTAAAATTATTTGACAACAAAAAAATTATAGAATTACACTCGATAATAGAGACTGCCTTTGAATCAGACATCCTTATCATTTCAGATAAAGTTCAGTTCTGTTCCATGCATCCAAAACCGCATAACCGACCATGTCAAAATATTTTGGCCATGGAGGACTAAAAAAGGCCGTTGATTGATTTTTAAAAGTAGGTTTTATTTATAGACTGGGACCCGACCCAAAAATCCTATGATTTATTTACAGTTTGACATTGCTACCCGACTGGAATCTAGCGTACATGTGGCTCAATTGCCTGTGGGAAAGTTGAAGAAAATTAAAACTCCCGGTCACAAAAGGCCAATAATGGTTTTTTTTAACGTTTCACCACAACTGATCCATATCGTTCACGGTACATTTCCATTTGTCATGTTTGGTATGTTTTGGACTGTTTGAACAAAACACAGTTCATGAAAGGCAAAAATCGTGTTTTAAAATATATTTAATCGATTCTTTAAAAAAAAAAGCTTTAAAATATAGCTTTAAAAAATAATTTAATTGTTTATTGTTAATTGAATCGTTTCATTAAAAAATTATTTAATCGTTTCTTTAAACATTATTTAGTTGTTATTTTAACAATTATACAACAGTTTCTTTAAAAATGATTTCATTTTTTTAAACAAATTGTTTGGTCGTTTCTTTTAAAAATAATTTAATTTAATCGGTTCTTCTTCAAAAATTATTGAATAGTTTAATTTTTCAAAATTATTTATCAGTTTCTTTGAAAAATGGCATGATCTCTCTTTTTAAATTTTGATTGTTTTTGATTAAATAATGATTTTGATTTTTAAAATTTAATTCTTTATTTCAAAAATGGTGTTTTGACATATTCTTGGATCAAATACACACTTTAAAAATGATTTGTTTCTTTAAAAAATTAAATAATAGTGTTAAAAAAATTGTTTTATCATTTTTTAAATTGTTTTATTATATATANATATATAGTTATAGTTATAGACTGTTGTATATAAAAAACAAATGAAGCCTAAAAAAATCGAATAAATATTTTAAAGAAACGATCAAACAGTTTCTTAAAAATATTTATTCGATTTTTTCATTTACTTTTATCTAAAACTGTATATCTATTATATACAACCAGTAGATTAGATTTAAATTTATGTACCCTTCGATTTTTATTTATTTTATTTTATTTTTTTAAGGAGAGTGCAACGGCAGTGGTTATATCAACCCTCAGGGTGCCCGTGTTTTGAAGAAAAGCCCATTTGTAAGTATGTCGGGTTCGAATGCAGGGCCGCTGGATTCGAACCCGAGACCTTTACTTTACTTTGATGAGCGCCGTGTCAACGCCTACCGTTGCGGCCACCGACGACCCCGAGTCGATTTATTAAAAATAATTTTAATTTTTTCTTCAAAATTGTTAAAGTGATTCTATAAAACAATATTTATTCATGTAGTTAAAAATTATTTTATTGTTTCTTTTCAAAAATGTTGAATCGATTCTTCAAAAATTATATACTCATTTTGTTAAAAATTATTGTAGTGTTTCTTCAAAATTATTAAATCAATTCTTTAAAAAAAAAAGTACGTAAACATAAATTTTAGCGCAAGAAGTGCTAAAAAGTTCCGTCAGGAATAATTGTATGAGGTGTGTGGTTTTTAACACGCTGTTGTAAACAATTTGTATATACACAAATCCGATATTTTTTAAATATTGTGAAATTAATATTATCTGTCAATTTAAAAACGTAATGTTCGGTTGGTTGTAGAAAAGCTAGAAGGACGGTGTACGTAACTTTACAAAGAGTATGTTAGTTAACAAAGTTTCCTAAAGTTAAATTTCCTCACCTGGTCTTATATCTCGTGTAAACAGAGGTTAATGGTTATAGTGCAGTTTCTCAAATTTGTACAACACTCGCGAACTTATGATTCACCTCAATCATGCAAAATTGAGACAATTTTTTGAGATTAAAGCAAAAGGTCAAACCCCAAAATACAAACACAAATATATGTTGGATAACAGAATTTCTTCCTAGACGTCTTCTTTGAACATTTTTCAAACTATCCAGCAGCCGTGTTTTAGTCGGAAAAATTCCTCTTGCAAAATGCGACTGGGACCACACAATCCGAATATGCTTGACCATAATTTCCAATGGGTATTTACTTTTTAAACACATGAATTTCTAAATCCCATCTGTCGTTCGTCGAACAAAAAACATTGTTCTTTTTTATTGATAGATTTTGAGCTCTGTATTATAACGTTTTACTTTCTCTTAGACGGCAAACACTTTCATGTGCTTCGTCAAACCTCATTAAGCGTGAAGCGCTTGAAAGTGTAAGTAAATCATAGGCAAACATAGGCGATTCATATAGTCTGAAAATCAGGGACTGTCATCACGAGTATTTGATGTGTGTATTTCCATAAAAGAAACATTAACATGAATTTCAAATACTTAGGAGGGTGATGTCGAGTATGCTGTGATAGGCTAGTAAGTTGAAAAGCGACGCTTATCTCTTATTTGCTCCACTTCTTCAAATTCGACTCAGGAGAAAAAAGATAAGGGATTCTTGCTCAGCGAATTTAATCCCATTGTGCAAAAAAGGCCAGGTAGTTTAGTTTTTTAACACGACAACGAGGAAGCTATAATGCCGAAGGTGTTAAGTCATCTAAAAAATGTATTTGTGTATAACGTGTAGAAATGTGTGGTGTTTAGTGACCGTTAATCAATGATTATTTGGAGATCGTTTGATGCGGTCTGGTGTGACGTAGGTTTTAGAAAAACATTTTCTTTATAACGTTTCGATCTTTATTGAGATCATCTTCAGGGCTCAAAGTGTTGGTTTTCTGCGTAGTTGTGACATTCTTGGGTGTTTTCTGTTGTGAGTGCCCCAGGGCACGATCTCCAATTAGTCAAATATAACTTAAGTGAAGAAAACAGCATAAATAACATAGCTTTTTTGGACATTTAACTTTAGGTACAATCAGTTTTATTATTGTGAAAAATAAAGCATACTTTTTTCTAATTTTAACACCTTTTATTGGGATTTTATGTGAGTAACTGGCAAAAATAAGTGGCAATATTTCACAATGATCATCGCAATAAAAGTTGATGAAAAGTTTGGAAAAGTTGAATTTGGGCCTTAACATAATCACCCCACTTATTTTAAATTTAGCAGAAATTGAATGTAATTCTGTTACAATAAAGTATACATAAGTTTTGGTTTTGTGTGAATTGAAATAGTTTTTAAAAAGAACACTATTTATTACACGACAATACAATACAAAATTGGAGTAACAAATTCCAATTAGGGAATTTTCGGTCTTAACTCGATGAAAGCACAGAGTGGATTCTATTAAAAATATTAGTATTAACAAAGCTTGAGGGATGTAACGAAGGAGGGGTTTGTTGGTGATGAACACGTGCAGATGTGAAAAGGGAGGAATGTGAAGGGTTGCAATAGATAAGGGTCGAGCGTGTATAAAACACACACACACACACACACACATACANTAAAAAAATCTTCTGTTTTACCCTTTCAAAATTTTTGAAATTAATTTTTTCAGGATGTATTTGCATCAGTATAAAAATCCTTCAAAATAAATACTCCTGATATAATCCTATTGTCTATTTTTTTTAATATAAAATTTTTAGTGCTTTCATTTGATTAATGGGAAACTTTGAATTTTTGGTTTGCCATGCTGGTCCTTCTTACCTCGCTGGTTTCGTCTGCCATGGCAAGTATTATAATAAACAACATTACAAAAAAAAAAAAAACAACTAGTATTCGACAAGAAAAACATTTATCAGACGATTACACTTCAGTTAAAAACAACGATGACTATAGTCAATAACAAGACTCAGACACCATAGCAAACGTTCAAACGCAACGAGAACAAAACAAGAACAAAGCGGATAGGGCAATCTCACATGAGCCATACTCGCAAAAGTATTTGTAGTAAACCTTGAAAAAAATAGCTTCCGATTTACCAAAACACATAATTACCCACATGTTATGATATTTATACTTGTAACAACAAAATGTCCTAAAAATACTGACACAAAAACGAAACATTAACAATAGAAATAGAAAGCTAAAACAACATAAACTATTATAAAACCACCGCTGACGACGAAATAGCGACACTACTCTGACAGATCAAACAAGTAAGGCCAAGTGGACAAATATTCGCAAACCATCAAATAAAGTCCAATCAAACATGAATCATAGCCTTGTCTAGTACAGATCTTTTTTATGAGGATTAATTCGGAAAATAGATAACCACATTATCATATTGCGTGCAGGAATGACATCCGATATGAGAATTGTGCTTGAGCAGGGAAGCTAATATTTGGATCCCCTGTTCCGATTTTTCAAGCAAACAACCGTTTTATTATACATAGTACTTGATAATTCATTTTGTACGGGTTTTGTTTGTGAATATTGAGTTTGAGTGTATTTATTAGCATGAACCTGTGGCCGAATACTGAATACCCATCGACCCTCAATTAGATTAGTTATTCAGTATGTGTAAAGGGTACTGGAAGAACATCGAGCACTCCACTACCATACTTAAATAACTAGGAAGGGTAAGTTTAAGGTCAGAAAGACTCGGCTTTCTTACGACTTGGTCTATGCAATATTGTGCAATCTTCAATAAGTACGGCTTTATTAGATGTTCCGGTGTGTATCCTTCAGACCTTAACTTTTCTTTCCCCATGAATATGAATCTCAGCCTGCATAGGCCTTCGCACCAAAAAAGGACATGTTCCTCTGTTTATTCTTCTTCTTCCTGGCTATAACTGCACAGGCTTGTTTCTACATATACCTCTTCAATCAGTGCACTATCATTCGACTTTTAACGCATCGTCGGCTTAGTCGTTTAACCGTTAGCTTCTGTTTGTCCTTTGATCAACTTTTCGTCTCTGTCCTGGAATACAATCCGATTGAACAAATACATTGTTTGTTGTACGTGCGTTTTGGGCAATGCTGCAAAAGGGTTCAGGTCTGATAGATGGATCTTTTCTTGATCAGTCTATCGGCCTCCCCGTTGCCTCCCTGCCCTGTGTACTCTGGTACCCAAACTGTCAAACAGTGCCTTGATGCAGTCCCAAACTGCTCTGGACTTTAGGGCCGATGAGACAGTTGTCCTTAGTGCCACCTGAACGTCCGAGCAGATAAAAATAGGAAAGAATGTATTTAATAATAAATGGAAGTATTATGTATCTAGCGTTAAAAACTGTATGCGTTGCGGGCTGAAATTATCTAGCTGTTGACAGTCCCTGAAACCGGAACACCTATAACCTCGGTCTGACTTCTGACTGCCATAAACCGAAGAAGGCGTGATAAACCTCTTCTAAACACAACAATTTTGGATTTCTGTAGGTTCACAGAAAATCATATTGATTATTTGTGATTATTGTTTATTCAACAGGCCCATTATCTTTTGATAAACTGACTTAATTATTGATTTAGTGCCGTGTCTGGTTGTCGGCAACACAAAAGCGCAAATGATTCATAATCCTGAAAGACGTTTGACCTGAGTTATAATGCCTCATATCATCCTAAGCATTATTTATACCACGTCTATCGATCGAATTTGTTTAACGTAAGATACTTCATATCGATTATAATACGTGAGCGCCGACTGGGAAATAAGAAAAACAAAACAGTACAAAATCGATATATGGAACGGTACCAGTTATTTACATTTCACCTTAAATGGCCCGGTTATGAATGGAGCCGCTGATACTAATCGTATCCTAATTTCCTTTCCCGTTTTGAGTTATGGCTCTTTTCTTGGCACAACTTGACGAAGTAACTAACAAAATCTGCATTAATAATTTATTTGACAATTGACTCTGATTATTTTTTTCACGTTCGAGATAATTTAATATACTAAGTGGTATTGAACTAATATCATTACTCAAACAAATTATCATAAAATGTATGCATAAGAAATTAATTTTCCCGTCATTCGTTTTTAAACATCAAATACGCAGCCTATTTTCATGATTTTTTTACAATTAAATGAGTAGGCTTTTAACATGAAATCATTGTATACATGTTAGGCTTTCTTATAATCTACTTATTTTTATAAAAAGGAAAGTCAGATTGTCATTATATGACGATATATTTCAAGTTAAAAATTACTGATAATCTTAAGCAGACGACAAACTTTTATTTGCTTTTTCCATTAACCACAGTGAGAGGCCGTGAATGAGGACATCGAAAAATGATATATGTTTAAATCAACGTATAAGTGTGATTGTCATCGAAGGATGGTTGGCATATTGATTACCAGACGATCATGGTGCCATCGGCGCTTTAATTGCCTCGTGAAATTTTCAGGGAGAGTTGGATGCGATAGATTTCTAATGAGCTGATTAATATGTCGGCCGTAAAGATAGTAAAGAGGAGTGGACATTAGATACTCCCCTCGGAAACACCTGCAAGGATAAAAAAGTGAAGATTAGGTATTTTTATTTGGTGGTCGTGAGATGCGGTCTGGTGTGACGTAGTTTTAGAAAAACATTTTCTTTGTCGTGCCAAGGTTTCGATTTTTATTGAGATCATCTTCAGGGCCTGGGATTTATAAACATTGTTTAAATTTTACAACTACGTGTAGGGTGTGAAAAAAATGAATTTATACAATCCTAGAAAATTTTAGATTACAAAAATGAATTTACACAATACTAGAAAATTTTAGATTAAAAAAAATTATACAGTGCTAGAAAATTGTAGATTAAAAAAATGAATTTATACAATGCTCGAAAATTTTAGATTAAAAAAATGAATTTATACAATGCTAGAAAATTTTAGATTAAAAAAATGAATTTATACAATGCTAGAAAATTTTAGATTAAAAAAATGAATTTATACAATGCTAGAAGATTTTAGATTAAAAAAAACGAATTTATACTATGCTAGAAGATTTTAGATTACAAAAATGAATTTATACAATACTAGAAAATTTTAGATTAAAAAAAATTATACAGTGCTAGAAAATTGTAGATTAAAAAAAATGAATTTATACAATGCTAGAAAATTTTAGATTAAAAAAATAAATAATTTATACAATGCTAGAAAATTTTAGATTAAAAAAATGAATTTATACAATGCTAGAAGATTTTAGATTAAAAAAAAACGAATTTATACTATGCTAGAAGATTTTAGATTAAAAAATGAATTTATACAATGCTAAAATTTTAGATTAAAAAAATGAATTTATACAATGCTAGACACATCTACACGAAAAACAAACATTTTGAGTGAGTACAAATACTTTGATTGAATCTAAAATTTTCTAGTATTATATAAATTCATTTTTTTCACATTCACATGTATTTATAAAATTGAAACAATGTTGACGAATCCCAGGCACTGATGATGATCTCAATAAAAATCGAAACC